TTCACAAATTGATATGTTCTAACGATGATATAACGCTTACTTATTGAAAGAAATTTAGGTTTCCTGTTTTTATTATATGCAATACTTTTCACAGTTCGATTTCTATAACGCTGAATATTTTATAATACTTTGTGTCAAGGAATCTTAATCTTAAAGTGGTTATATTATAGTAATTATCCGTACAGTCAAGGATGTCTCCAATATTCATCAATCGGAATCAAATTTGCATGAATCCTATTGTAATTGATCGAACACGTCATGCACATCAGTGACAATTTGTCGAACATAATTTCAGGAATGCTCTAGCATTACTGAAATTATGTTAACACGCATTTAACCATATGCGTAAGTAGTAACTTTGTGGCTTCGTACCTTACAATCAAAGTCGTATCTATTTGTACGGCTGTTATAATGATTGAAATCCGTGTAATTCACCTTTCCAATAAAATTCGTACTCGCTTAATATTTGTTCTTTCACAAAAGGTAACCTCTTATCTGTATTCAATATAGGCTTCACCCAAGGCTTCGTTTGCGTGTACCAACCGACTTGATTATCTTAGCCGATTAAATGTTAACTAGTGGCCTTGTTAATCTTATCATATTCTAGTAAACATGACAAAATTCGAAATCCTGACTGCGTAAATAGCAAAAATTTTCGAAAGGGCTGTTTGAATTGAACATTTTTCTATTAGCTGGTACAAATTTTTCACAATATGACGTCTGCTTTTTGCCCTAATGAATTTTGATCACTGTCATTCCTCTAGTGACAATTAGATTGACGTAATAATCATCAAATCACGAAGAGACAAAAATACGTATATACGCTGATTTAACACATTACCCTCATTGGCGTTTCGCAGTCGGGTGAAAATATAGAAGTTTTTGACTTGAGAACGTACAAACGATACTGTGTCCCTCCCTACGGCCAACTTTAATTTATTACATACTTCTTGCGTCTTAAATGTTCTTTCAGTAGTTTCGATTAAACTTTAGTGTAAGTCTTTATTTTGTTTGAAAGAAAACTTTAAATTTTAATTGAAACAACAGATTAACCTTGTCTAAACGTTTTTTTATGCTCTTTGTTTTATGATGAAAATCGTATCTGTCATCTTGTGTTTTCTTAAAAATGAAAATCTTTTAATTATGTTTTGAACGCGTTTTCATTCATGTCAGATCATATAGCTTATTTAATAAAAATCCTGTATTAATATTACTTTATTAGTAGCCATTTTGTCCATCGTGTTTGGTCGTTAAAAGTCGGATAATAAATAAATCCCTGGAGTCAATCTATTAATATGAGTCTTAATTTTCTTTTAGGATCTTATAAGGAACCGCAGGTTTAACCGTGGAGGTCAATGTGCCCCGTAACTGTAATAAACACAATAGATAGCCTCATTCTTTTCTTTATGGGCGGCTTTATTGGTCCAAACTGTTTCGGTTATCGTGATGAAGTGAGGCCGGGAAATTGAAATAGATTGTCGTTAACGTAGAAATGGTGTATCTAAAGTGTTTTTGTCACTTTTCCCCGTTACAGCCGGTTTGAATTAGTTTTTTTTTTTTTAATTTTCTTTTTATTTTCTATGTTGCTATAACTTATTGGTGAAACTATGTTAAGCAACTTTATGTTTGGGTTCTAATTCGGTTGGTAACCGGGGTCGGCTTTATTAAAAGATGGCAAGGTATTGTATAACCCTAGGTGTTACAGATGTTCATGGGTGGCAGTTATAACTTTATAAATTCTAAAATAAAGAAATATTAAAAGAATCGAATTATCTTTGATTCTAAACTTTGCCATTTCCTTTAAGACGGTAGCTTTGATGCAGAATATAATATGTTGCAAATCATAATGTATTTCAGCGTTGATAACAATATTATAGGACTAAAGTGACTTTTATACAAACTTCAGTAAGCTTGTGCTTATATGCTCTGAATGTGGTACGTCGGTCATTCAAAACTAAGTTCGAGACCCGAATCGCGTTTCGATTAAGAATACGGTACCAAAAGCTAAGGGCATCAAACCGTGTCGTACGAAGAATACGAATAATGCTGTTGGTTAAACTATTAAATACTTTTCTTCCGTCGATAGAACCTGTCGAATGCAAAACTTACGGTACGGTACAACCGGCATCGCCATGCTTATCACCGCTGTGTAACAACCGACCATTAGGTTTTAATCGACGGGCGCGTCGCGTCGTTCGCAAACTGTTTATATATCGTAACAAATTTATTATGTTAATTCGAAGCGATTCATTGATGCTATTCCAAACGCAGTGTGTTCAATGAACTCAAGAATTTTTTTTTTTTAAACGATCTTTTGTTAGTTAAATTAGATGAAACTAGAGACAATGCAACAAAAATTGTATATATCATAAAATATGTAGTTTGATTTAAAACTTAAAATCATACTGTGTTGATATTTTGTTAAGTTCTATTTGGAACATAAAACTTAGTGACTATACATCGGGTGCATATTTTTGCTCTTTCAAGTTTCAGCGATACCACTAACTTTATCGCTGAAGGTTTTAGGTCTGGCCATATACCGATGCCATATTTAGAATATACGAGCTTAATTTTTCCTTTGCACCTCAACAATACGTCATTTCAATGATCGAGTTACTTATGTAGCAATTAAATCTCAGTCAAATTTATTGCATAAGATCGATTCACACTCAAATATTACCAACAGATTAATATTATGAGAAACGTATTATGGTATCACCTAGAACTACTTTAAAAAAAAATCGCGTGGTAACGTATCGGAACTTCCTCACGCAGTTTCACTTGCACACGCATACATTTACATACAAACACATTTAATTCAATCACTTTGCGGTTCTTACGTTCAAACAACAAACGTCCCGATAACGTAAACCGCTGATTAATGGGTTTAATTCATTACGCAATACATCAAACTCAAAGGCATGTCCAGCGTTTGAACACTGCGCATCGGACGCTTTTGTAGAGTGGCCCCTTTGAAGACATCACGACACGACGAAGGTGCGGGGAGGCGTGACGAACGGATTATCAATACAGGTCTTCCGACGACGGCATTTCTGAACTGGTTACTAATGGTTGTCGCAAAGGTTCGGCAACATCGTCGTTGCGTTGTATTTTGTACTTTACCTTACGAACGTATTATATGTGAATTATAGAAGAGAGTCAAAATTTCTGCGGCGAATTTTCCTATAGGACGAGTAGGCGGCAAAATTTAGGGTGCGGAAAAACTTTTTTTTTATGGTGTGTGTTGTCGCACCTTTCGCTTCTCGTTCCTTCGCGTAGGCCATATTCCGTAAAAAAATATAATAGGTCAAGCGGGCCTGACGGGTAGTATCGTTTACTGACTCGTTGTTTTTTATTTTTATTTTATTTTATTTCCTTTAATTTTTTGTGATTTACAGCAACTAGGGGGTGATTCTTCCGTATGCCTAGGGCGACCAACGATGAGTTTCCTTATTTTGTTTGAAAATTCTCAGTATCAGAGTTTTGGCCCTGAATGAAAGATTTTTGAGTTACTCCATGTTATGCAATTGAATGAAGACGAAAGATTGATTTTAATTAGCACTGTTTGATGTCTACGACACGAAACTTCACATAGTCATTATGACTAAAAACTAAATCATCTGCCAAAATAGGCAAATGTGTGTACCTTTGATTTTTCATGGAATTGTTTTAGCGCGAGAAAGACGATACAAACTGAATTCTTCTCACACTATCATCAATTTTCGACAGCATCCAATTCAATCTCCCATGCAGCGTGATAGCAGTAGATCTTAATAAGAGCCTTAATAGCGCCCACGGCGAACATTGATTCCCGTTAGGTGAGTCGTGTCCAGCGTTGGTTATTTGTCCATTCGAGATTAATTGCCTTCCCCGTGTGGGACGCTTCTCTCACGCCGGATGGGATATAGTGGAGGCTTTACGTCATCACGACGAACTCGTAATGGATAACGTTTTTGGACGGAATTTTCGCAATTAGGTTTGATGAGTTTCGTGAATTTGGTGTGCGGCACAGGGCTTAATTCGTGACGCGTTATATCATAATTTTTAAAATAAATTTTGCTTTATAACATGGGTATTGGTTGAGGTCAGTGTCAATAAAATTTACTGGAAAAATTTTAACTTATTTTAATTCCTTATGTAGAGATGTCGAGTTAAAAAAAACTGCAGAAATTTGCAAACTGCGTTTAAGTTCTTTTAGTTTGTTTTAGTATAACTTTTCAGACACAGTTATTTCCCATGCTATCGTGTCCTGTGTACATAATACATAATATACTATATAATAATCTTTAAAAGTAGCTTACATTAGGGTTTTAAATAAATAACGGTACTGACATTAGTTTATATTGAAGCTCAATAACGTTGTGTTGTTAAATATGCTATTATTAATAGCCTTTATCTCCAATTTGTGGATATTTCCGATAAAACTTCCCACATTAAATTGATGGAGGTGAACAACATTTACTTAATTAAGCCTTCGTAGACGTGACCAATTTAAAGTGAGGGCTGTTGTCATGCACGGATTGAGATTGGTATATTGTTATTGCGGTGAATATTGCAGGTTAATGAGTATACAAATTGTAACACGCTTCAGTATTATATGCAATTTTGGCCCAAAACACAGAGACGTTAATTTGCTGTTTAACTGATTTCTCACGATCACTGTTTTTTTTTTATTTTTATGCAAGTTTTTTGTTATCACCCATAACGTTCCAGCTTATTTCATTTTAATAAGTCATGTATTTTTATTTCTATTTGTTTGTTAGTGTTAAATAAATTTATGTTTTAAATTTGAGTATAATACGGCTCCACTACCTATAGCGTTCCGGGGATTTTGGAGCGTAAAGAAACATAATAGTTCTAGATATTTCTATAGCTTGGGTTACAACTCGAAAACTTGCGGTAATAATTGACGAAGTATAGAGAGGATCTGTTGACAACATACCATCATCAGTCACCAATATTTTCCTTGTTCATATTTCAATTTTGAATGTATAAAGCTACGGCGCTCGGTCGGTCGCAAAGCTCCCCACCAGGGAGGCGACAATTTTCACGGCCGACATCAATATCCCGCGCGCGGAACGGGCTTGATATTTCCATTTTCGTTTCGATTTATCCTCGCGAGCCCCACCGCTGGGCGTGCGCGTCCGCCTGGGGGGGCTTTTCCCGTCGCGCGTAACTCGATTGGTGGGCAATCTAGCACCGGCGCCTCCGGTAATTACGCCCCGACACCCGCCCGCCTCGGCCGCGGAGGCACTACGGATATAGTGCCGACGCCAATATCGACGCTCCTATGGAAGAAAGAAAGAAAACCATTTATCGGAACAACTGGTTAGTGAGACAACATACACTAGATATTTAACAAATATCGTAATACAGAAAACAAAAAGAAACATAAAATAAAAATAAAAGGTTTACATTGACACAAAAAATGCGTTGCGCGTGTCTCGTGGCTGTACCAGCAGATCTCCAGATCGGCTTATTGTCGGGCTTTAAAACCAGACGCTGGTTTTCATCTGGAACCAATGTTCATCCAATAAAGGAATCTCCTATCGCGTGAATGGTAACGTGATTTTTTTTTTTGGAAAAAAAGGCAAACGAGCAGGCGGGCCAGCTGGTAATAAGAGTTCACATCCACTATCGCTATGTATCCTACTGTTGACAAAGACCTCCCCTGTACAGAGGGTATTAGGGAATAGTCCACCACGCGGATTTGCGGACTTCTCGTGTTCCAATTATATTTTTAAATTATTATTTTGAAAATATGCAGGTTTCCTAGCGATATTTTGAACCTACCTGGGACACTTTTGTTTGGAACTTGTTAGTGCATGTGTGCGCTACCGTCGTTTGTTCGAATCTGTGACATAGTATCATTGTAGACGCACAGCTAGCTTAATTGATTTGAGTCACGCAACTTATCGCTTACGATATGATTATATCTAATTGATTATCAGTTAGCAATGAAAAATTATTTATTTTTATCTGACGCCTGTCGTTATAATCACATCACTGGCTCGTGTCGGTACACCAGCGACTTTGAAAAACGGGTAATAGGTTTCCTATTTCGCCGGCAGCTGGCCGAAATCGTATGAACTTGTTGCTAATGGACTCGATCCATTGCCTTTCCGATTGCCGGATGACGGAGTGATGCTTTTTTTGCGCCCCACTCGCTCGCCATTCTATCGGCCACATGGCTGGCTGATAGCCGATTAGTTGCACGCATTCTATATGTATTAATTGTGTAGGTCTGTAACTGATATTCGAACGGGTTTACCTTTCTTGCTCTTATAATGCGTGCGTCTTGAAGGCAACATGCGTGGTACTTATGTAACTCAAGTAACGTCAAAAACAGATAAATGCAAACATTGTAAGACATATATTGTTAACCTTGCAAATTCTATAACATAATTTTTGAAGGAAAAATCATTACAGTGAATATTACGATGCTCGCGTTCAACAACATGAAACTGACACTAAAATGTTAGTCGATAAATCTCCATTTAGTAATGTGTCTAACAATATTAACGTCATAAAACCTCAAAATGTTCACATTAAAAGTCAAAGTATTTTGTTTCGTACGCCAAAGAATTAAAATTTCTCGCATGCGTTTCTTTTAAATTTTTTGTCCGTCATCGGGATCAATGTTAAGCCATTGTCAATTTTATTTAATTATTAATTCCCGATACTGGTCGCTTTTCACACTTTTAATACGGAATGCTTTTTAATGATCATTTTCAATTTCGTATCGCTTTAGTAACGTACAGCGTACCAATGCTTTTAACTAATTGTCATTGTCACGTTGTGTATCAACTTCAGCGAGTATACGAACGCCCGCCGTAGGCACGCACGCACGAGGCGCGGAATCTCACGCCCCACGCATTTCCCATCTGCCGGGGAAACCGCATTAAGTAGCAATCTCGTCGCGCCTCCAATATGTCGCTTCCCGTGAATTTCATTATGCGATATAAATCATCGTCGCTAAATGCGTACCGCGGTGGGAAATTATTTATATTACACTTTAACTGGAGCACGGGCGCGTTAAGGAAAATGTCGCAAATTAAGTGTCAGATGTTATGAGTGTAATCATTGTTTATCGCTTATATGGTTTTAGATAATGTTAAATAGAGTGACGATTGAGAGTTCATTCAGTTAATTAACAACTGGATATAGGAATCTCTTGACATGGAATATTATATTTATAGGTACATATTGTGTGTTCTTCGAATCTAGGAAATCTTTTTACTTATAAACGTGCCGTTATTTGGATGACCAACTGAGTATTATATTATATTTAATAGATTTTGTTTAATGATGTTCGCATATTTAACAAACAAGGTGATGTTTTGAGCCCAGACAATGAATTTTTTTGCATGTTGTCTGCTTATTTAACAACTTAAGTAAATGATATATATTAACTTTGTTTACGAGACATATTCTTAGAGATTCCCTTTATCCCCGAATTAATCATAGCGAATCAGCTATGGCGACACTCGAGCATTAATTATTTCCCTGTTTTTCGTTATCACAATGACGGTGTTTGTGCGTCGCGCTTTGTTTAAAATAGACGGTTTATTATTATACCGTTCGAAATTGGAAAGTTTTGCCGCCGCAGTGGGGCTAAGACGGTTTTGTATTTATTTGTCGGTATTATTTCAACTCTCAACGAAACCGTCGCAGTGTGCTATGCATTTGAAGAATGGAAGATCTCATTGGAGCTTGAATCATCACGATGGGGCAGAGCACCGTTATTGTTTGGATCGACGTGTGTGCCAGTTGTTACGAAAGCGACGAAGTCTGCCAAAGATCGATGCACGCCGTCAACGACGACTTCGGTCTCGGTTGATTTTTCTTAAGGTTTACTGTTTCACGGATTGGCGGGCCCGTCCGGGGAAGTACCACGACCTCTCACAGAAGACCGTTGTGAAGTGGAAGTGATATAGGTACTTCTGCGTTTCATCTGGTGAGTGAAGTAACCGGAGCCTACTTTATTGAAAGGGTGTTGCAAATGTCCATGGGTGGCCGTTATCGCTTAAGATCAGGTGAACCACCAAATCGTTTGCCACCGTCTTACATTTAAGTCTAACCAGTGCCATTAGTAATGTTTATTGTCAGGCTATGAATAGTTCGATTATTTTTCTTATTGCTGACTTTAAATCTCCATTTTTAATGCATATGAAATCCGTGTCGCGATCGTTTCTTGCTGCTTTGTTGTTTCACTCAACATTCTATATTCTTTTATCGTTTTGTGGGGTTTTGAAAACACAGTTTTGAACACACTGGCTCGACTCCAAAGGGCAGTCCTGTGGCGTCGCTCAGGCCCGTGTCGACACGCTTTCACAACGCGTCGCGTTTCACCCGAGCCTCCATTGTCCGACCGTTCGCTATCCGTGCGATCAGATCGGATGCGCGGTTTATTTTGGAAACTTTGCGACTTCGATTCGACGTTGTCGTTTTGCAACGCCCCTCTTGTCGGTGGCGGCGGCAGAGAGGTAACGTTGAACGTGGTACATACTACCGCGACGGTTTGATGGTGAATCTATTCGACACATTTTGTCACTGACCGAGGAACTGATGAACAGTTACAAAAACTATTGACCACCAAGGTATAATATACAGGGAGGCTTTTCTAAGTGTATCTATTTTTTTATTAAATTATAGACATAAATAATGTTGTATAAAAATGATAAATATTTAAAATCACTCGTAATTAATTAATTACATTCATTTGAACTTATCTCAAAAAGTGCGTGATTTATGGGCAACTCGTTTATTTTACGCGCGATCATTCATAACTAACAAGCACACAAGTTCATCGCAAAAGTATACGACGCATTTATGAATGACTACCGCATTTTCAACAAGTTCTGTTTTTTAGGGAATAGAAATAAATGCGCACATTTGGTTCAGGGGTCACATTCAAAAGCGTCAGAGGGAATTGTAACGTCGCACTGTCTGCCGCGCATTCGCTCCTACGACGTAAACGGTCTCGAAGCTTACCTACGTGCATTTTATTAAAATTTACGTGTAATTACTTGAAAAGCCCTAAATCGTTTTCCATTGACTAATGATCTCCGCGTTATAGGTAGGAAAAAAAAAGATAGTATTGTAAGTTTGTTATGCGTGACGTTACGGTAATTGAAAATGTTTGCAGTTTAACAACAGACAGTTTTTTTGGTTAATTTTACGATTACATATCTTACGTATACTGCGTTTTCATTTAAGTGTTAAAAATTTTATAGAAATATGAAGATATTTGAATTAACTCGTACTAGCTGTGCGCTTCGGATCTTGATTTTTTTTTAAATATTGCATGTTTAGTTTAAAAACAATCCTAAAAAAAACAACGATCGTAATAATATTAATTTTTTTTAATTGAGTGTTACGAGATATTTATATAAATGATCTATGTCTATTTACTCATAAAATAAATACAACTTGTTATCTAACCATAAATTACAGCAAACTACCAGATGACCGACGACGTGTCATGCTAGCTTGGTAGGTGTGACCTGGTAAGGCGCAGGCACTCCATACAAGCAAAAAAATCATTGCATACCCTGTCATCCCATACAAATATTTTAAAGTTATATCATTTATAGATCTTAATTGTTTATGATAATTTTGTTTTAACTATTGCCTTTTCTGTCTGTCTGTCCGTCCTTCCATCTGTCGGTCACCAGGCTGTATTTCACTAACTGTGATAGACTCAATTTTCACAGATGATTATTACACAGTATTTCTGTTGCCGCTATAACTACAAATACTACAAAACAGAATAAAAAAAATATTTATTGGGGCTCCCATACAGCATTCATGATTTTTTTACCGATTTTATAGATAATGGTACGGAACCCTTCGTGCGCGACCTCGACTCGCACTTGTGTAGTTTTTAATAGTGCATACTCTGTCTGAGATCTCTGTGCACGTCACATCCAGTGTGACAGCCAAGACATGCATTGCATAAATCATGATATAGAGATGATATTTTTGTACAATCTGCCTCGAAGTCGCTTATTTTCTAATCGCAGCCATCGTTATTTGGTGCGACAGAGTTCGTTAGCACCGACCCACGTCGTCGTCGCGTCTCGTAATGCGCGAACGGTGACCGAAACGGGCTTGCTGAAAGCAGACGTGGGCGAAGAAAACACTCCGTTCGGTGGTGAGTCGTGTCGATGACTCTTACGCCGTTGAGATAAGGTCCATAACTGTTGGCTAGGCAGAAACTTGAGACCGTTCCGCGTGTAACGGTGAACGTTTTGTGATCGAATCGTTCGCGTTTCGATCACGAAACGCATATTGTTGTTAGACGCGCACGCACGCACACAACTTATTTCTCACACTTACTGAGATAGCGATATATCACTGTGGTAGGACTACGCAGCAGCTTCTACTGTTGCACGAATGTGCAGGCCCATTCCGGTGTACCAAGTACCACGCCCACACTCCTTTATGGCCGTGCAGTGGAAGTAGTTTCGTCTGATGAGTAACTGGGGCCAACTTTGTAAAAGGTTGTCAACGCAGCAACAAAACCCTCACGTGTTGCAGATGTCGATAGCATAGGCGGTCGCTTGCTCGCTTAAGAACTTTTCATATAGAAAAGAACGATATACGTTTCATAATTTAATCTAAAACATGACTATTTTGAAGCTACCGTCGCCGTGAAACAAACTCAATTGAAACAGTTATTTTGGTGCGTTATGAATCCGGAAAGCGGTAACACCATTGTGATTTGAAGTCGCATCATTAGATTGCATGTCAGGCATTTCAACTATCAGACCATCTCTACCTAGCGAACGCTTACGGCATGGCGAAGTCCAACCGGTGACCTCTTACATACAACAGATGCCATGTTTGTAGAAGCGGATTTGATTTAATCACGTTTTTAATTTGAATAAATACCACCGATCTTTGATTATGTGCAAGAGGGGCCTGGTAACCTGTCTGACAGGGCAGCACAGTACATTTACGAGTTTCCCATGAAGTAACATTGTATACTATTTAAATATTTTGTCCCTTTTACATGCATTTTGATGATAATGAATGCAATTTATTGTTATACTACTTGCTGCCCGCGACTACATCTGCGTAAAATAGGCTGAAGGCGTAACATTCAGACGGAAATACAAATATACATAAAATATGTATATAAATTATAGCCTATGTCTTATTTTGATGTATAAGCTATATTATTGTAAAGTTTCATTAAAATCCATTCAATAGTATTTGCGTGAAAGAGTAACAAACATCCATCCATACATACAAACATTCGCGTTTATAATATTAGTAAGGACAGTAAGGACTAGCGACCCGCTTCAAATCTAAACAAGTGAAATGTGTATGGATAACTGACTTTAATATTTGTGTCTCTAAAAAAACCAATCAACTGGTTTGATTGTTATTCTCCACATTTGAGACAAAGGAAAACAAAAGAATTTTAAAAATGCAGTAAGTATGTATTTCCTCAATTGCTAATTTTTCGTAATCAGTTCATGTCGTTTTTTTTTTTATCTTAGAATTTATCTTAATATAAAGTTTTCCCCATAAATTAGAGGCGTTTTGAAGATTTTTAAATTGCTCACACACTAATATCGAAAAAAAAGTGATAATACTGAAATCATGTGTGGGTTTTGATAAACACCAGGGAACCTACACCTCGATTTAAAAGTCGTCAATTTTGATGATTAGACATAATGGTCATATCAACGCACGTGTCAGCACATGCGCGGCCCTAACCTACGCGGCGGGCCTTGTCAAGCCTGTGGGTTCTGGATCAAAATGATCAATTCAAAAAGTTCAACCATCCTTTTGGCAACTCAAATGACATTTGCAAAACCATGTGACAGCTGATTAGTTGACATCTACGATGATCAGTGTTTCACAAACCGGGCGTATGTATATTCCACTGCTGGGGAAATGGTATAAGGGCACCACGCAAGCCCTCCGCTGATTGGCAGAATTCACATATGTTTGAAATTTTTTTTGTTACTGTTTCGAAAATATGCAGGATGCCTAACAATTCTATTCACTTACCACGTAACACGTGATAAGTCAGCACTTAAAATTGCAGCAGTTAACGATTTCTTTTCCCGGCAACGGGATTTGAACTTTTTTTTTTCACAAACAAAAAGTACCTGATACGCGGGATGAAATTTTCAGTTATTTTTCTTTTGTCAGGCTATAGATGTATAAATTCTTCCTAAATCCTTATTCTTATGTTAACAGTTACAAACTGCGTGATCGCTAAACGGCAAAGCGTAGTCCGTTTGAGCCTTGTCGTGATCTCCCTTCTACGTCGACGTCGTTGGCAGAAACGTTCACGGCTATCGCCGCGACGTGACTCCTATTAAATGATATTTCCTTGTACGGCGGCACACGACCCGGCCACGCCGCTAAATAACTGATATCGCAAGGTTTCAACATGTAGGTATATGTTCGAGTTCAATTATAGAGTCGCCGAGAGCTGTTTGTACTGCGCCGTTTCTATTTACGGCGTGAGTGCAGCTTTTCCTTTCGAATGGCTGTAATTAAATATATTTATATCCGTTATGATATAAATTTGTTTAATTTAATTATGGCACTAATGTGCTTATTGTTCATTCGAGACTATTGCAGCACTTTTATTAAATAGTACCTGTGCCCGCGACTTCGTCCGCGTGGAATTTAAACTTAAAAAAAATTCTAAAGTAAAAGTAGCCTAAGTTACTCCTTATTACATCAGCTATCAGCCAGTGAAAGTCCCGTCCCAATCGGTCCAACCGTTTCAGAGATTAGCCGGAACAAACAGACAGACAGACAGACAAAAATTTTTAAATTATTATTTTTGTATATGTACCGTGTGTACCATGCATTTAATAAAAAGCGGTTATTTTAATATTACAAACAGACATTCCAATTTTATTTATCTGTATAGATGTATAGATGAGCTGGTTGAGCCTGAGAATCTACGCTGTGAACTTTTTTGAATATTAAAACCTGTTTGCTATTCGATATTTCGTAACGGGCCCATGTATTAAAATATAACATTTATAGCAATGTAACTATTATCAAATAATTGTACGTTCCTGTTTGCTTCTCATTTTCAAATTCTTACGCGGTTTTCGGTTCTATACGATCCCTCACTAATAAACTCTGTTACTATATAAATTCTTAAATATTTTATGCAAGAATTAACAAAAAGTGAATTATTATATTTGTTTATAGTATTTAAGGCTTAAGGTTAATAACAATTTTCATTCATCGCTGTGTTATTTCACTATCCTATCCCGATTGGCTGGGGCACGCGAGTGTATGCTCTATCGTTATGAAAGCCGCATTGTGGGCCAGTTCGTTTGTCGCCCCGGCGAACATGTAGTACCGCCCTTCACACACATACAGATAACCCGAGGCTAGAAGAACTGCCATGTTTACTTGAATGACATTCCACCCTCGTCTTTAAAATGCCATTTACTCTATATTAGTTTTGTTGTTATATATTTCGAATTCTATTACTCTTGTATCTTTTCCTGCGCCTACCGTAATCTCTCACAACATCCTGCGTTGACTGGTAGAGAATACCTTTGGGCATTAAGTCCGCCCTCTGTTACCTGTTTTATCTAAGGTCGGCAATAAAGATTAAATAAATAAAATAACTCCTCGCATTATATCAAGTAAAAGAGACCGATCTGATCGCTACACGGTTTACCCACAATTACTTTTACGCCGCCTTCTCTTAATACTTTCACATCGCGTAGGGCAATTAAAGTAATTCAAAAGGCGAACGAATTTTCACGCGGACTCCAGTGCATTTGGCATTTGCTAAATACAATAATTAAGTGATTGTTAATAATGTTCTTTCCCTTCACTTGCTAATTGTCTCGAATCTGTTAAATTCACTGGGTCTTAAAAATGCCAGTCACTAGACGACCATGTGGCTTTTATATTTTTTTAAGTTAAGTGTAAAATAAGGTTATATATTTTTTAAACTTAGAGTGGAATGTATACCGCCGATGCAGAATATTAGCAAGGATATAACGATCTTTTCGGTGGTTGAATAATATTTAAAAAAGCGACAGATATTATTTCACCTGCCAAAAGACATAAGCTGGTAGAGCTTATGCCCGTACTCTATTTACGGACTTACAACAAAAAATTAAATCCATACTAATATTATAAATGCGAAAGTAACTCTGTCTGTCTGTCTGTCTGTCTCGCTTTCACGCCAAAACAACTGAACCGATTTAAATGAATTTACACAGATAGTCTAGAGTCTGAGAAATGACACATTTTTTAATTGGAAAAGTGTTGTAAAGGGTTTAAAATATCTTGATATTTATTTAAGTGCCTCAACGCGAGTGAAGCTGCGGCCGAAAAACTAGTATTATATATTCGTGATAATCGAATAGTTGTATTCATATCTGCTCAACCCTGCAGGCTATAGAATTGTAATCTTCAAATTGTGGCTGTCAATTCTATATTTTCATTGATAAATAAACTTTCAGATATAAGAACAATTTTTAAAAAAGACAATTTTTTTTAACGTTTTTGTAATGGCGAACAAACACTTCTATTCTATCTGTTCTATTATTGGTTCAGATACAATCACAAACACTTATCGATTCGTTTCCAGATACACTAATTAAGTTCCACTTAGAACAAGCGGATTCGTGTCAAAGCAAACAGGCGAGGCCTAAGAGATTCTTAATGTTGGATGAATAATAAAATCGAGAGTAAACGCGGGAGTAGAACAGACTGGTTTTTATCGAGCCTAGTTCTTCTGGTGGCAATTTATGTAAAGAACCGATTTAAATTCGCGACTTCGTACAAAAATTTTGCATTTTCAACCATATTCAAGTTGGTTTTTTTGTTTGCTACCTCAGAACTCATTAATAAATCGATTTAAAAAACAATTGCATTTGTTTCGGTTCCCATGTTTTTTATGTTAGGTCACAATCGAGCTGGCGGTTCACCTGGCATGTTAAGTGACAACCGCCGCCCATGGACATCTGCAACACCCGTAGGGTTGCAGATGCGTTGCCACCTTTTAATAGAGTGGGCCCCGGCTACCTCACTCACCAGAAGAAACGCAGAAGTGTAACACTTCCACTTCACACCAGTCTCCTATAAGGTCGTGGTACTAACCCGGATGGATCTGCCCATTCGAGCAACAGAAAAGACTATTGCATGCAGATATATGTATATACATCAGGGGAACCCTCAAAATCAAACTGGAAATCTAATGTTACAATCGGTTTTGTTTTCGTTAATAAAAATCTTTTACTTGTTCAATATCAGAAACGAATATTACATCTCGACGATAACAGCAGCAACAAACCACCCTTGAACCACAAGTTTGAGCTTAGATAGTAATGTATTCTAAGAGATGTTTTTCGTCCAAGATTGCAGGTGAAGTCGGTTAACGGTAGTGTTCGAACAGAGTCGATTGCCGCCGTGATTGCGAAAACTACGTTCCAGTTCTGTCCACTAGTCCCGGTTGTCGTAATATGCAGAGCGTGCTGCCCCATCGTCTTAAACCCCCCCCCCCCCCCCCCCCCCCCCATCCCAACCAATCTCCCGCCGTGCCCCGGGCGATGTGTGTCTCCAATCTTCTTAAGCGATCTCGGGGTCAAGCGTGTTCGCCCGGTATCATTTTCTAGTCGCGAAACTATTATCACCCGTCGGCTCGTTCGATATTTCATGACGTGGACAAGTTTTTATTGGGGTTAACATGGGAAATATGTAACGCTCTCGTGTTACACTTTTCGAGTGACTCCTGCTCCACTCCTGCTGTCATTGAAAGTTTAAAGTAAAAAATTAAAATTATGTACATAATAGTTACTTCATAGCAATCTTTTAAAAGGGGTGGGAAGAAAAGAAACTGTAATTATTACATGTTTCAAGATAGAAAGGGTGGGTTACACACAGACGAGGCGTTAACTTCCTATAATTTTGATCGAAGGTCACTCACAGGTAAGTTACTTTGATCAATTAATTATATTCATTAACGCCTCGTCTGTGTTTTAACTATGTAGGTGTAAAGAATAAAGATTGCAGGTATATAATTTTAATTGTTTATAATACATCAGTATCAATGTAATCAGTGTTAACTGAATACTTTCCATTATACCTGAAAATAAAAGTTATTTTCATTTATTACAGTTCAATAATTAAAGCGAGCAAAGATATTGGAGGATTAAGTCAAACCTGCAGTTCTTCTTTTTATAATCAATGTTTATACGTTTTGTAGTACTGTGGGCTTTTGAATATTGAGTATCTATACCCAAATTCAATATATCATAATATTTTATAATTTTATAAGAGAAACGGTATTGCAGTCTGTGATCAAAGATAATAGCATTGTTTTGTTATGTGTATTTAAACTAATCAATGTATTAGGACACAACTAGCTTATAAGCACTGTCTTTTGTAATAAGCACTGGTAAAGTGTCTCTTAATACACTTGTGCAAGCCTAATTCATGACCTAAACATAATGATGGAGCAGATCTAATAGGCTTAAGAGTGCAATAGTTTTTAATTTTGAAAGAACTTTTAATTGGCCATATTTTTGTTAAATCTGATCACATAATATCTGTTGTAGCTGTATGCTTGCAGAAAAAAGTATAAAATAAAATGAATTAAATAATAGTGCCACAATCTAGTTAATTATTTAAGAATGATGAAATCTTTGATAATAAGTTGAGATACAATATTACAATAATCCCACCATTGGCTTAAACATGAATCATACTGCTTGATAGCATTTCCTGATAATTGATTAAAGTGTATATAGTCTCCTCTGAATATACCTTTTTAGGTATGTTTGTTTCACACAATTGCTGCAAACCAATTTTTTTAATGATTGTTTGTCCACAGAGGATATATAATTAACTTTTTATTTGGATGGAGAAAGAATATTCATATATATATTCATTTTTCAACAGGATGAAAACAATGTGAAACTTGTTGTGATGGCCAGTAAGGGGCAATTGAACTTTCTTAAGATATTAGACTTGATATAAAGAAAAAATTGGTAAAAACCATCCACTGCCCAATAGTTCGGTTCCACATGCCATTCTTTCTAGTGGCAAAGAGGTTGACTAATGGAATTCCAAAAAACTTTGGAACAATTTTTACAGTATGTATATTATTTAGTTCAAATTAGGTTTCTAAATTACCGGTGACTATAGACTCTTCATTGGTAATAGTGTTGTCACAATGTATCAATACCAATTTCAACCTTTTTGGGGAAAACATTGATTGTTTCCATGTTTCCACTTAGAAAAAACATTTTTTATATTTTGTTTTTTACTAGGGTTGAAAATGTTGTTTAATGGAGGCTGTGTTTGAAAAAAAAATATTTCCATTCTACAGGTATATCACCCACTTTAATATGGTTTTATGTTTTGTAATTTTTATCCAAATACTATAAAATAAAGATTGTCTACCAGCAGATTTCTCCTTTAATTCTTTCACTCCATGTTTGCTGGTGGACACTTCCTGAATGAGGATGAGTTGCAGAGAAGGGTGCTGGTTTGAGACTTATGTTGCCCTGATTTTGCATTCTCTTCAAACCAGATAGGCCCCAATAGTTTAAAGGATTATTTTTCAGTTATAAAAAGATGCTGACATGAAACCTCTTATTGTGTTTCAAAGCTTTGGTTGAGATTATCATATATTAATGTAAATAAATGTAACATGGTTCTCTCCAAACAAATTTGCTTTGTTTAATTTTTGTTTGTTTTCTCTTCTTGTTCTTATTTAATCCTAGTAGGATAACAATTCACCTTGTTTGAGATTCCATTTGGAGCAATCACAGTGCAATACCAATTTTTAATAGCAATGCTTAATTTTTAATATCACTCTTATCCTTTTTGTGTAATAATGCATATTTCATTATGGCCATATATTATGATAGAGATGATATATTTAAGAGTGGCGCAGGGAAGTTGCAATTATAAATAATAAGATTTTTTATTTTATTGATAATTTCAATCTTTCATTTTTTTTATTAAAGACCAAGTTCCGTTATGATTTTGCCACAATTTTGCAAGATTAGGATGTATTTTGATGAAGTATTAAATTTTTTGAAATCTTTCTGACAAGTTCAGATATGACTTGTTCAGGAAGCTATGTTTTTAATTTCATTTTCACCAGTGTTGATCACTCTGATTTGTATTCTTTTCATGGTCCCTTCGGGAAATTGTTCTCTTTTGAGAACTAGAAGTTAAAATTTTAAAATAATGTTTTTAATAAAGCATGTTTATGCTTTTTGTGTACTTGCTTGTAACAACAAGACTAAATTAGATTGTCATCTCGTGTATCCTTTTTGTGGCATCTCATGACTAAATTTGATTTATATCTCGTGTATCATTTTGTGGCATCTCATGACTAAATTTGATTGATATCTCGTGTTTCCTCTAGTGAAACCTCAAGACTAAATTTGATTGATATCTCGTGTTTCCTCTAGTGAAATCTCAAGACTAAATTTGATTGATATCTCGTGTTTCCTCTGGTGAAACCTCAAGACTAAATTAGATTGATATCTCGTGTATCATTTTGTGGCATCTCATGACTAAATTTGATTGATATCTTGTGTTTACTCTAGTGAAACCTCAAGACTAAATTAGATTGATATCTCGTGTTTCCTCTAGTGAAACCTCAAGACTAAATTAGATTGATATCTCGTGAATCGTTTTGTGGCATCTCATGACTAAATTTGATTGATATCTTGTGTTTCCTCTAGTGAAACCTCAAGACTAAATTATATTGATATCTCGTGTTTCCTCTAGTGAATCCTCAAGAGTAAAATTTGGATTTTTTTTTTAGCTTTGTGCAATTGCTAACTCATGCAAAGAAGGCAGCCATAAAGTCTAAATAATTTATGAGATATTTTCGTTATCATTATTCCAAATATGTATGTTATTTTTTATAGGACTAATAGACATACTATTTTCTTTCTATCAATGTACCTTGTCTTTTTTATTTTATTATTCAGACCATATCAGTTTTTAAAATTATCTTTAAATTTAAAAATTAGTTACATTATAAATGCCACAAGGTAAAATTTTTGATAATACATTAATGTATTTTTATGAATAAATATATTTTATTAAACATATGATTTTTGCCTTTCTTTGCAATCTAATATAAAGCATAAGAATTTACACTAATTCAGGTTTCAGCTTACTCATGTTCATAATAAAATTTTATAAATTTATGTGTCATGTCACAATTTATTTGACATCCTTTTGTTAAGTATATTAATTTATCACTTACATCCTTTAGTTATCTTTGACAACCTTTATTTAAGAATATACATATGGCCCTGATGAAAAACAAAAGACATTAAAATTTTTCTCAGTACTTAAAGCTCATAAATGATGTCTTTGAAAATAAATCTTAGATATTTTTATGCCATTGGCCTGTGTGTTTAAGAGAAAATAAGGGATTCACTCCACAAGGAGTTACTTAAATTTTTTGGTGGTTAATATCGTAATATCTCCATTTTGAAATGAGTTGTTTTTACAAATTTATTAAATGACTTCAATTTTAAAATGAAATTAAAATTTAATGATCTCCCTTAACATAGCTTTTTAAAAAAAGTTACATATATCCTCCATAGATATAGAAAATAAAAACATTTTTGATGCGCAATATATTTGTGTACATAAAATATTAAACGATACAAAGCTTTACCTTATTCTGGACACGTCCAACAGCAACTTATTTATTTATCAATTTTTTATTCATTTAGTAATTCGTAGTTTTATCCACATAAAACGTAAAAGTATTCGTTAAAGAAAATATAACCACAACGTTTTGTTCGGCACGAAAAAACACATGACAGCAGGAGTGGAGCGGGGTTGCTAGTAATAAATGGGTGATACAGATTAAAAATATTTATTTTCTTTAAATGTTCGTGACTGTTTGGTACGTCAAAGCATGACTACATAGTTAAAACACAGACGAAGCGTTAACGAATATAATTAAGAGATGCTAATCAATTAACTGGCGGTTAATCGGCCCGTGTGTGTTTTAAATAACACAAGACCGATCGGCTGGTGCGATGCTAACTTTTGGATCCCACGCTATCACGCTTACGGACTCTCTGCGGTATAATCAGAAAGTGACACGATTAAGTTACGGTTTGAAACACTTACCTATTTACTGATGGATACTCTTTTTAATGTTGCATCTGCAATAAATAATCCTACACGGAGTCTGTAGATGTCCATAGCTGGCGCGAGTCACTTTAAAAGCACGTCCTCGCGTAAACTTATTTTTGGCTTTTTGTCAAGTAAAGTCTTCAAGGAAATGAATATCGACATACGTAAGCGTGCGGCCTAAGTGTTGCCACAATAAATTTCCGACCAATAATAGATAAAACGACCTTGCTTCTCCCCGATATATTGTCTAGTTATTCGACAGAATATATCGTGAATCGCTTTACGACTGTTCTCTCGAGATTTATGCATCTCCGGAGGAACCATTAAAGGCTCGACGCCGGTCAAACGAACGCGTCGGTTTACGTTACGTTTTAATTTAATGACCGCGCCGTTAATTTAACGACTCTGCCACAGCCTCCGCGGCTTTCTACAGCAGTCTGATTAAAATTTAATTTCCCGCTCCCATTTTTTTATGTCATACTTCTTT